TAATCATCATTATTGTTATTATCATCTTTATTATTATCACCATTATTATTGTTAATGTTAAAATTTTCTTTTTCTTATAATTTTATATTATATAATAATAATAATAAAAAAATAATAATAATGATAATAATAATAATAATAATAATAATAATAATAATAATAATAATAATTGTAATAATGATAATAATAATGGTGATGATGATGATGATGATGATGATAATAATAATGAAAATAATGATAATAATATAATGATAATGATAATGAAAATGATAATAATAATATTAATAGTAATGATAATGATAATAATAATAATATAATGATAATGATAATGATAATAATAATTATAATGATAATAATAATAATATAATAATAATGATGATAATAATAACAATAATAATAATGATAATAATAATAATAATAATAATAATAATAATAATAATATAATAAGATATGATGATGATGATGATGATGATAATAATATAATAATAATAATAATAATAATAATAATAATAATAATAATAAATGGATGATGATGATAAAATAATAATAATAATAATAATAATAATAATAATAATAATAACAAATAATAACAGATAATTATGATAATTAATGATAATGATAAAATACTACAAATGATGATATTAGTAATCATAACAATAGCAACAACAACAAAAAAACAAGAATGGATCCTGTTATTATCATCACCGAGATGAAATAATAGCAATAATGATAATGATAAAAGTAATGATAGTAATGATAACAGTAATCAGTAATAATAGCAACGATTATCAACATTATTTTTATCCTCATTTATCGTTATCATGATTACCATTATCATCATCATTATCATTATCAACAACACTATTATCACCACCACCACCATCATCATCATCACCATCATCATCATCATCACTATCATCAGAAATCATTATTGTTATCGTTGTGATTATTACATTCATTACCACCATCATCATAATCACAATCATCACTATCAAGCAGCAGTACCTGTCACAGAAGACACTACCCGCGTAATTAGTATGTGGTGCGAATAGTTTTGACACAGAAATGCACGGCTTTAGTCAATTTCACAAACCTGGAAGATCGACAGCCAGCACCCGATGGCCCATGGCAGCGAGGGCGCCGATGGTTTTCAGTTCTTCCCAATTTTTCGACGAAAACCCTTCCCCGTGGAGAAGAACGACCGCTTCCCCGCTGCTTCTCACTCCCTCCGGCGGCTGTGCTTCTCGATAAAAGATGTCTGTCTCCTGATGAGGTCAATATGTGGGACTATCTCAGTGTCACGAGGAAAAAGACCATCTTGTACAGTTAGCCCTGGATTAACAATGAATCATAAGGTTGAGCTTGGGATTCCAAAGGAACTGTAGCTGTAGCCATCGAATCGTAGTCTCAGATTTACAGAAGGGTAATTTAAAAACTATTTTGGTTTTGTTATTACGGCAAATAAATCAGTTTAGGGCTCTCCGCACATGTTCCACAGTGCCATCTGACATCTGAGACACGCCTTCCATTGTAAAGACCAAAGTTGTGCATGTACCAGGTTGAATTTAGCCAGAATGAATCTGACGCTGGTCTTGCGCCGAAGATTTTTCTCCTAAAATATTTTGTGCGCTGTTTTGATCACGTCAGTCAGGTACAGAATTGCTTCACACATTACCGGATTCACTGGTATGGAAATGCTTTTAATATGCAATATTGGCTTTTAAGTGTGAATGGAAGTTTTGTTGACTAGACATTTGTGGCCAAAGGTGACGGAAAGGGGAATCGAGGAAAAGGGGAAAAGGCTAATAATGAATAACCATCTTTCACACGCCAGAGTGCAGCGTCATTGCATTGGATTCTGCTTTTGCGCGTAAGTCCTGCGCCAGTGTCGATTGCGCCGGTCCCTCCGAGAAGTCCCTCAGATTCTTCCTGGGAGTATAGGGTATCAGCTGGCCACACTGGCCCTGGATGCTGTGTAAATATTAGTAATATATTCACATGAATATAATGGAGTATGCAGGTGTAAGTCGGAATGTAAAACTTACCATGACACTGATTTTTCTGTATTCGACTTGAGTCTGAGCTGCCGTTTCGTTGATATTGGAAGGCAGATCGCTTTCCTCCAATTCAACGTTCCTCCAGAAGTCTATGTTTTCAAGTGCTTCCTCCCTGCTTTCGTCCTGAAATTTGAATGCAATACCTTGTATGACTATAGCATTTTATAGCTCCACAACAAATATTTATTCACTCTGTAGTTCAGCGGGGTCGTGTGTTCACAGACGCTTAAAAACAAAAAAATCATAAGCACCTACCTTGACAGTGCGGGACGTATGTTGAATGAGTTTCTGAATGGATCCTGTTATTATCATCACCGAGATGAGAGTAGACGTCCCGGCGAACAGGAAGAGGAGAGTCGCTGTGCGCACTTGCGCCATTTTGAATGGCGAGGAATGTCAATTATCTGGAAAGCAGTAGGTTCTGTATTCGAAAGCTCTTGCAG